ACAAATTACCTTATTTACAAAACAGAAACAGACTCTCAGAGATAGAAAACAAACTATGGTTACCAAAGAGGGAAGGCAGGGAGGGACAAATTAGGAGTTTGGGATTAGCAGATACAAACAATTATACACAAAACAGATGAAAAAACAAGGACCTACTGTATAGCACAGGGAACTTTATTCAGTATCATGTAATAAACCATAATAAAAAAGAATTTGAAAAAGAATATATATATATATATATAACTGAATCACCATGCTGTACACAAGAATCTAAGACATTGTAAATCAACTATATGTCAATAAAAAATAAATTAAATGACTTGATCTCTCCATAGAAGTGATCATTACGATGAGACATTACAAATCAACTGGAATTATCTCAATTCAGTCCATGAAATACATGGTAGCTACCAAGAAAAATCAACAAAGGAACTTAAGGCTCTTTAAGAGGTTTCTCATCTGTATAATGGAGATAATATTATAACTACTAAAAAAACAAGAAGATTAATTCTTTTATACAATGGAGAGTGAAACCTTCACTCATTTTCCCCTGAAATCAGGACCAAATAAAGTTGGTTGCCAGGAAATCGGAAAAGGCTTTTCTGGGGAAACTGATCAAAGCAAGAGAAGAGGCATGTGGAAACCCCCAGCTGGGGGATCCCCTAGAGAAATGATCCAACCAGATCTCCCTATACCATCAAAAAGATCTACCCAAGCATATGGACCTTCAAACCAGCTTCTTAGAATATCACTTAGACTGCCAGCCAAGGATCATCAGGCATTTGAAGAAGCTCTCCAACACCAAAGAAGCCAAAACAAACACCAACCAAATAAGGAAGTGAGAGAAACTAGAAACAATGCTGAGAGAAAAAGAAACAAAGAGAGAGGGAAGATAATTAATATCCTTAAGTAAATGAGCATACTCTGTATTCATGAAACTAGAATAGGTTTTTTAACAAAAAGAACTTTTGGAAATGAAAACTCTGTAAGAATACATTTTTTTCAATAGAAAAACTGAAGGATAAAGTTGAGAAAATCTCCCCAAATCAGATAATACTTAAAAACCTATTAAGCCAGAGATTTGAAAAAGGAGAGAAAAGATCAGAAAAATAGAAGGTTTATATGGAAGGTTCAACTTCTAAATAAAAGGCGCTCCAGAAAGAGAGAACAGGGAAGCATAAATTACATCCTTTCCAAAGAAATACCACTACAAAACTTCCAGCCCTCCAGGGCCTGAGTGTCCAAGGAGAAGACAAAACTCAGAACAACAAATTTAAGAAGGATGTCACTGAGTAATGTCAGAACGCTCGCTGGGGACAAAGAAAAGATGGAGGCTTGAGAGAGAGATGGGGTAGCAAAGAGTAGCAAACACAAGATCTCAAGTAGGGATGGTGTTGGCACTTGTCAAAGGCAACACTGCAGGGAGCTCAAAGTTACAAAGGCATGTCTTCAAGAGTCTTGAAAGAAAATGATTTTAACCAACTTTTCACTGGGCTGTTATATCCATCAAGTGAGAGGGTAAAAGGAAACCTTGTTCAAACATCAAGATCTCAGAAATTTTACTTCCCATGAATTTTTTCTTAGGAAGCTGCTGGAAGATATGCTTCACCAAAACGAAGGGACTGAAATAAGAGAGAAATAAGAATGCCTAGACCCAGGAGATAGGGTATCCGCCGTAAGAGGCAAATGCAACAAGAAGTTCATACAAAACCCTCAAACTGAAAGAAGAAATAGCCATGTAGACGTCTGCTTTCAAAATACAGAGAAAAATACCACCAAAAAGAGTTGAAAGCAGTTCACTGCCTCTGGTGAGGAGCAGTTGGGTGAGGGAAAGGGGGAACGAGAAACTGCTGGGTTTGCCATGGGCCTCGGACACCTAGGTGGCTTTTTGATGAACTGTATACAAGTATAATCTGATTAAAAGTTTAAAAGAGAACTAAACTACGTGTACATGTTCCTTCTCATGCATCTAGTCGGTTTTATCACAACGGGGATCTGGGCGCGACAGGGAGTCTCACCACAGCGGTAGACAGAGTAGCACTAGAAGTCCTGGGACCCTGAGCCGGCAAACGACCAGGGGCACGGAACCTGCTAATGAAACTGGGAGGCTACCTTCTAGGAATCTTATCAGATAACGTCTTCAATGAGCTCATTCTGCCTTGGAGTCTATCAGAGCGCAAAATACATGTCTGCCAACTCAGACCAGACTCCATGTGCACAACTGCTAAAAGTCCAAGAAATGATCTGAGCAAATAAAGAGTTCCAGAAATAAATTCATTTCTGCAGACTGAGCTGGACCTACCTGTTCAACAGGACCTGACACTAACCCAGAGGGTGATTTAAGGATAACGCCATCAAGACTGACTGTTTCCTAAGAATTCCATCCTGAATCCTTTAAGCCCGAAATCGTTCTGGCAAGAACACTTTAAGTTATTCACTACCCAGTGCTCCCAGACGTCAGGTATCTTCAAGAGATGATGTGCTCCACCTCCACCCCACCTCGATTTCACAAGTGAGGAAATGAGACCCCGGGCCCACGAATCACGGCCAGATGGTGGGGAAAGTGAGACAATGGTCTGGTTCTCTGGCTTTTTTCTAGGGTACTCTGGCTTTTATTTTTTTTTTTCTAGGGTTCTCTGGCTTTTCCCCGGTACTGTGTCAGGCTTCCCCCCAAGTCCAAAGGCAGTTCTGAACGACATCACATTATTCAGCTTGTGTGAAATACATCAGCTTTGACGGTAAACAAGAGCTATTTCAGCCAAAGCTGAGGACGCCACAGGAGCACTCTAAAAAAGCTCCATTAGTCCATCACATACACGTACATTTTTATAACACGTGGGGGTGGTGAGAAGCGGGAGTTAGCAACATTAGTTACAGTCACATCTTTTCCCTTTTCCTTTGCACTAGTCTCTCTTCTCTTCTCTTCTCACCAATATGCTCTAGTAACCGTCAAGCTACAGCAATCACACCATTTTGTTTTAATCAGGTTATTCTTGTGTTCTAGCCACATGTCTTTTCTCCAAAACCCTGTATCTGTCACAAACTGCAATACCAAGAACTCTTGAGGGCTCTGTAACAATACATTTTGAAAAAAAAAATCTGCTAAATAGACAGATATTAGAACTACTGTAGCCAGACGGAAAAAGAAGAATTTTTTTTAATAAAAAAAAAAATCCCAGGTGCTTCTTGATCTGTGCAATCATACCCTTCCAGAAAGCCTTAATCAACACAATATTCTGAATGAAATATAAAATGCTCCTTCTGTTTAGTTACCACAGGGGATTATAAAGACACAAAGCTTCTTGCCTGCTTTTTCAGCCTTGTACTGTCTACCCGATTCAAGTAACAAAAAACAGAAAGTTCAAGTGCACTAGAAGAAAGGCTTTGGCTGCCTTCTTTGCAAACTGACCCCCCTGGACTGTTTTCATTCAGGGTTCTAATCAATCATATCATGCTTACCAACTGGCCTGGCACTCCTGCTCTCCCTTGTCACTTTTCATTCACTATCAGAATGAAACAAATAGGGCAACGACACCAAACACTGAACCGTAACAACTGGAAGCTGCCAGAATTTGCGGAGTGAAAAGAACAGCACGAAGTTAGGCTTACTGACAAACCCCTAATATTCCTCTGTAAACACCAGACTCCTCCCTCTGCTGTCCAAAATATGAAAAGGTTTACACCGAGTAAATGGACGCAGGTTAATGGCAGATACCCCTTGGCAGCATATCGGCATCTCCCTCGGGTGAAAGGTAGTGTAAAGCCGGACTCCACTGATCAAGGGTGGTCTGGGTGGGAGCAAAACGTGGGGCGGGGGGGAAGGCTTCTCAGTGAGCCAGAACCCAGACCCCAGGGGATCTGGGTTACTTCCAGTCCTGACTGAGTTCCCAGCGGAGAACCCTGGTACAGTCCAGCCCACTTTCTTCTGCAAACTTTGAGGTGAGCATCAGTGGGAAAGACGAGATCCTTCCCAAGCCATCACTGAAGCTACTGGAACTCTGCAGCAGGAGATTCTCCTTTAGAGTCGGCCTTGATTTCCACTTAAGTCATAAATTCCCCTTACTCCGTTTTCCTCGCTTTGGGAAAATGAGGAAAGGGATGGTAACCACAGCCTCAAATACTTAACGGTCACACTCAACATATGTCACGCTTTGTGAAATTCCATACTGGAAATGTGCTACCTCAAGAAAATGCAAAGAGGGCTGGTATACTGACGATATTTATTTTAAGAAGGTATTTAACTCAAGAGACAGATATAAAGTGAGATGTCCTAGAGGGTACACACTTCAGAGACACTCCAGTATCTGACTGAGGGTTTGAGGTTAATGGTCACCTTCCAAATCACTAAAGATGAATATGCAGTCAGTGTAATTTCAGGTAGCTCATTCTGCATTCTGCTTCTTTGAAAACAGACCCTTCACGCCCCTAGTCCCCTAACTGGGTCATCTGTCCCATGATCAACTTAGAACTCAACATTTCTTAGAACGCCCTGTGAATGTGCTAACCTTGCAGTCACCCTGCCAAGCAGGGGTTTCATGGAAGAGACAAGTTCAACATGGCAATAGCGCTTTTGCAAAGATCATCATAGTTTTGGTTTACAGCTTCCTAACTTATCTGCCCCTGAGGACTCGAAGACTCCTTGAACTCAGAGCACCGTTCCCACACTCCCTTACTGCAGCCAGCTGGGTTCCAGGTTCAGGTAGCGCCCGAGCCATGCCCCTAGTCCCAGTTCCAGTTCTTCTGCCCACTCCGGCATCCACTCGCTCTATGTCTGTTTGAACTAGAAGAAATTCCACAGGTGTGTATTCAAGGTGCTGGAATGAAGCAGCTCTCCAAGAGCACTGGTTGAAACTGGGTGGCTGGTCATCTTCTGAAGAGTGGCCACATCGTCTCCTGAACCCGGGGAAAGCGGTGGAAAGCAGTCTTCGCTGTCTATCTGTAAACCAGTCAGTCTCTGCTGCTACTCAGGCGAAGTAAGACATGTTAAATGTTCTCAGTCAGCTCTTTCGACTTGACTTCCTTCAAAAGTCGGCTTGTCAACATGGCCATCAAGGAGACACCGACGTGACAACATACAAACTGTGCAGATGTGCGTGAGTCCCGAAGGGCTGGCGGGTACAAGATGCTCACTGGGCCAGAGGCACATGTGGCACTGCCAGTGACGCACGGGCAGGGCTGGGCATTTGTTGTTGAGAGTTACGGAATCAAAAATGACATTTGGGGTATTTTTGTAAAAATATTTGGTGAATATTAAAAAAAAAAATTCCCTCTGTAAGCCGAATAAAGTTCCCACATTTCAGTCAAAACCTCAAACTGACAAGCAAATGTTTATTCTCCTTTTAGCATATTTTTAAAATAATCGGTTACATTCATACACACACACACACACACACACACACACACACACACACACACACACACACAGACTTAAAACGAGGCAAGGCTGATCATTTTAGGTAGAAATCGAGAACTCCAGAAAGGACACACAGTCATTTCATTTAGGTTGTCCAGACCTCAGTTTTCCTGTAGGAATAATAGGGCTAATTATAGGAGTTTTCCACATAAATGAGATGCTAATTACATAGCACTGGCAGAGCAACTGTAAAGTTCTCCAGGCAAAAGCGGTGATTGTTCAGACCTGCCAAATGTGTCATGTGTCACGTAAAGGAAACAGCCACATTTCTCACACTCAAGGACTGAAATATGATGAAAGGGTCTCAAAAACATATTTGAGTCAAAAGGCATAATTATGAAATGAATATACATCTGGGTGAATATACATATGGCAGGGCTAGAATTGCTCGATTTACTGCTCAGTTATAAGCAATTATCACATGAGCAGTAAGGGCTTTGCCTCTCGCACATCACTTTTTATCCACCCCCCTCCTGGGTCTCCTGACTGTGACATCAGACTTTGCTAGACACTCTGCACCTCTGCCCGTGAGCCTAATTCCTCCAACTTTCTTTGCTGAGAATGGCTTTTTGCAACCTATGATATTCCTTCTTGCATATGATAGCTTATTTTCCTTTTGCCTGGGAAATATTAGCCCAACTTATCTGAAAGCAGAAAGCCTGAGAAAGGGTACATATGGGAATGCTTTGGTAGATGTTTAAAAAACTACCTGGACGATTCTTCCTCCTGCTGCTGCCGTACACAGAGGCAGCCAAGAGAAGAGGCTCTGGGAGCAAATGGTTGTGGGAAGCAGGGGCCAGGGCAGGGCTGGGTGTGCCCGAGAGGAATCTGCAAACTGCTGGGGTACATCAAGTGACAGATTATGATTACCAACAAATCGTGCGGTGCAAAGGTTTTCTATCAAGACTCCATCCTTCGTCTGTCCTTATTCTGAAAGGAGCAGAACCCCAAAGAAAGATGTTTGCAGAGACAGAAACACAAGTGACTTCGATTCCTCCCTGTTCAGAATAGATGCTTGACAGACTAATTTTCTCCCCTGGGTGTTTGAGTTCCTCAGATCTAAAAATCTCTTTTAACTTCTTTCACTCGGGGGAAAAAAGCTGTAAAGTGTCACTGCAGGCACAAGCAGGAGTGAAATCTAAAGCTCCCTACCATCCAAAGCAAAGCCCTCCACGAGGCAGAGCCCCCGCAGCCGGCTCTCATGGGAACATCCCTTCACTTGCACACCTGTCTTCTCAGCCTGGACCATTTTGATTTTTGCTCCAAGGGAAAAGTCCCATTTCCCTTCTGTCTAGGACAGGACCCGGGGTGTGAGCCCTGCAAGCTATGCCTCTGACTTACTTACAACCTCATCCCTTTTGTCACCAAAATGTGGGTGAGTCCAAAGTAGGGAAGGGCAACCAAAGAGGGCACTCCACTGGGGCGGTGTGAACCGGTACAGACTTTTTGGGAAAGTGATAAACGGTTCATGTTTTCCATTGTATTAAAAATGTCTGTATCTTTTGACTCAGCAATTTTGCTTCTGGAAAATCCATAATAATTGCAAACCCATAAAATACAAACTTTCATGCACAAAAATATACTATGCAGTGCTGACAGTTATCTAAGCAGTTGAAGGCAACTAAAATATCCACTATTAGAGGACTTTAAATTTTTTGTGTCCACTCCATGTAATATTTTATAGCAATGAAAAATGTGTCTTAGAAAGTGTTTTAATAACATCAGAAATGCTAATCTTTAATGTTAAGATTGAGAGAAGAGAAAGGAATATTCACAAGTGTACTAACAAATACAATTTTTTTAATGCACACAAAAAAAGCTAAGAAAGAAAGTCAACAAAGTGAAGTGGCTGCCTGAATAGTGAGATTGTAGATGATTTTTCTCTTTTACTTTTTTTCCCCCTAAATGGCCTAAAATGGCCATGGAGTCCTTTCCCAATCAAAACATTAAAACCACACTGAGAATATAAATGATTGAAGGGAAAAAAAGCACATCAAATATTTTTTTTCTCCTTTTTTGGTGGAGGCTAATAATAGCAAGGTTGGAAGCTGAAATATAATAAAATTTCATCAGGTTTTATCATGGCTTTAAAAAAAAAATCAGGGACAAAGTAGCTTCTGGAGCTCTATTTTCCAGATTGTGTAGGCCAAACTTGATTTAAAAGTAACATATTCCTGACGAGAAAGCTACACTGTTCAAACTTCAACAGGTAGCAAGACCATATCACTTTGTTCCACGAATTCATTCAACATTCAACAAATATGTATGGCGTGCGTACTCCATGCCAGGTGCTGGGGTTCCAACAGCGAACAGAACAGATGGGATTTGTGCACCAGGGAAGCTTACGGCATAGTGGGGCTGAAAGGGATGGTTTGTACACAGCAACCCAGCTGAAGCTGACTGTTACTCTTGCCAAAATCAGATGCTAGACCAATGAAGAACTTCTGCTCATTCTGTGCTTAAAAATAGAAACTCCAGCTATTACATCACATTTTATCCCCTTTCTCTGAAGAGAAATGCAGCATAGGTACTTCAGGAGACATACTGGAACTTTTGAGCAGTAATGGAAATCCAGAACACCCAGCAGTAGCTGTGAAGAGCAGGGGCTCCGGAGGGCCAAACTCCCTTACCACGTGTGCTGCCTTGCATGGGTGAACCCCTTCCTGAGTCTGCTATTTTAAAACATAATGAGAGTGCGCTCACTCTGAATTTGGTCCTGAGGACTGAAGGAAATTAGCTGGCAAGCAAACCCAGCACGATGTCTGGCACAAAATAAGTGTTCAACAAACAACCTTTTCTCTTTTCCATGAAATATACATATTGACACACAAATGCAACCTAGAATCAGGTAAGGACAAAGATGCAGAAGTCAATGAAATGGACGATTGTGGTCAGTTCGTAGTGACTACTAACAGGTACAAGGCTTCTTGGAGGGTACTGAAAGTGTTCTAGAAGTAATTGTGGTGATGGTTACACAACGCTGAATACAAAAAAAAAAAAAACACCCCACTAAGTTGTACACTTTAAATCGGTGGATTGTACATTATGTGCATTACATCTCAAATGAAGCTGCTATTTTAAAAATTCAGTAAAAAAAAAAAAAAGGTCAATGGAATATCTTAATCAATATGCCCAGAAGGGCCAACAACTATTCTTTGCAACCCTGGAGACTGTGTGGATTTTGTAACTGGAAAATAATATCTTCATTTCCAAGTCCCTATATTAAGATAAGATTTTCTTACCAACCCCTTTATAGGAAAAGGATAAGCAAGCACACAGGACAATACCATACACCCAAATATTTCAAGACAACTTCTTAAGTCTTTCACTATACATACGTCAATCCTAAGAAAAGTTTAGTTTAAAATGTTTTACATTCTGTATTCACACTACAGTATCAACCAACCAAAAAGGGGTAACAAAATGCCTTTAATACAGTGAGTTTAAAACTTACTGCTTCTTTACTTAACACCTACTGTCACCACCAAAATATATACACAAATAACACAAAAGAATAAATGTTTGGTCCAAAAACATTAAGCTGAATCCTATCCAATGGCATCTTATTTTTTACACTGGCAAGAGGTGAAGTGACTGTCTATGCTATGGCTTTCCAGCAACACACAGTCACTCATCGTATCTAAATTTTGGCCACATTACCTCATCAGGAAAGCATAAAACAGGTCCAGGAGTAAAGCAAAACCCAGGAAAGCAGCCCAGACAAGCCTTCCCTGCTCCCTTCCTTTCTCTCACCTTCAGTCAACAATCTTTATTGAGTGTCTACTGTGTGAAGACCTGTTGTTCTCTATTTTTATTTTCTGTATTCTTCCATGAAGCTGGTACCATTAGTTTTAGTAATCTTTAAAAAAAATTGTTATATGAGCTTGGTAGTTGTAATGAACCAATTTTATTAAAAACTTCACCACTGTGCACAGAATAATCAGAGGTAATTAGGATGGTGTATGGTCCGGAAAAAGTATGGACTTGATTTTCTATCTAGGGTGCCTTTGTGGGTGAAAATGGGCAGCACCTGTACACTTTGGAAGGCACACCCTTTGAGCTGCTCTAATACCAATGGTGATGAACCTCAAGAAACAATCTGTACTTTCATCGGCCACCACCATTACAAGATGAGGGGAAGGTGAGGGGAAGGCCCCTGGCCAATACAAAGTGGAAGTAACTAGCAGTTCTTCTGGTCCCTCAAAACCTCAGTGGAGTTGGTGCTGAGGATTAAGGCTGGACTCATTTTCTCATTAGCACAGTGATTGAACAACTATGCTCACCTACCAAACTCACATCCTGGGGGCTGACTTCTCTCCACGTAGCAGAGCACTGCTGGTGTGCATGCCCACCAGCCATCTTAAAGTTCCCCATCACTGCACAGTTGTTATTCATCATTGACACGGCAGGCAGTGAAATGCAGAAGTGAAAGTGGGCATCTCACTCTGCTTGTGAGTCAAAGCCAAATTTATAAATTCACTGGGAAATACCTCAACAAATAGCAATGTTTCACTCATGTACCGCCTCTGTGCTCAATTACTGAAAATACAAAGCTTGGACCACCTACCCTCACCTCACAGCATCAGACCCTCCCTCTCCTCCAAAAAACATCATAGTCAGACCCTCCCTCATCAAAAAATTTAAGAAAAAAAAGTAAGCTTGGATTAATACTTAATCTCTTGAATCAAAAATTTTAAAGAAATGCTCTATTTTCAATAAGGCTGGGAAGTAAATACTTCAGAACAGGAATAACACCACCACACATTAGATCAAGCATCAATGATGTAACATCATTTTCTTTTTAATGAATTAGCTTAAAATCCCCTCTAATGCACATTTAAACACTACCCTCTTTTTGACTTTGGAGATGCAGGAAAAGCAGAAGAATTTAAGGGCATCTCTGGTGGTTTAAAAGAGAATCATTTACTTCTCCTGTTAATTAAAACATTAATTCCCAAGATCACTTTTCTTTCCTCAGAAAACCCGCAGAACGTCAGGGGAAGGACGTGATAGAAACAAGCACTCCTCCCCTCCCACTAGATGTTTCCTCTTAAGTTGCCATTTGTATTTCCATCATCCCCTCAGAAAACTCCCAATGTTTTCTGAGTCCAATCCTTTATTTGCTACTTTTATCAACTTTCCTTTACACTCTGGGTTTCTGAACTATTTAAAAAAAAAATTCAGCAGACCACAAAGAAATGAAGCCACAGTGTCTGGCTTACTGGAGAAAATAACTAAGGTCCGCCCACCATATTAATAAATAAGCATGAGTGGTACATGAAGTCCCTCAAAAGCTCTGTGGAGTTTGTTCAGAATTAGAGCTGAACCCTTTTTCTCATTAGCATAGTGATTAAACAGCTATGCTCACCTGCCACAAGACACATCTTGACAGACACTATCTACCCTGTGGGGTAAATAAGGCAAGTATCTCGGTCCACGTCTCACCTGAGAAAATGAGGCAACTTCCTTAAAGGGAAGAGGTCCAGCAGCCTGCACAGGGCCAGGACATCCCCTCTCTCCCCTGAGACAGTGGTTCTCATCCTTGTTTGCACATCAGAATCTCCTGGGGAGATCTGAAAAAACACTGATGTCGGGTCACCAAACCTGACCAAGTTGCCAACCCAGACCAAGGAAAGGCCTGGGAGGGCTGCCTGGGCGCCAACCATGTCTTAAAAGCTTACCAGATGACTCACAGGCACCAAGCTGAGAATCACTGATCTATAACCTACAGATGTTTTAGAGGCCATCGTTGGCAAATACCCATTTTCTTTCACCTCCTTTTCTTTGGTGGCTTTACTCTAGGACAGAATGGCAAAGCCGTGGTAAATGACAGTCATAACAATGAACAATGGACCCGGCCAAACCAAGCATGCTCCTGGGTAGGGAAAGAAAAAAAAAAACCAATAAACAAAAAACCAAAAAAAAAAATCAGGATTCAATAAATATCAAAAGGAAAATACATCCTCTAAAGCTAAAACAGCCAGGTTCAGCACTGATGTATTTCCCACACATTGCTATATACACCCTTTTTTTGGTTTCCACCCTCCCCCAACTCACCGCCAAGAGCAAATTTTCAAACAAATGACTACACACTGGCATGTGTGTCCCAAATGTCAGGAATGAATGCTGAGGAAATTCCTTCCAACATCTGCGAGTAATTTTGTACAACACACCATTGCTCCTATGCATTCACCTTAAAGAAGGATCAGAGTGGAAGAAGTATATATCCAAATGCAGTAATAGTTTTTCTCTCCTATTAAGTATGATCTGAAACCCACTAATTATTTCCAGAGGGAACGTCTCTCATCATACTTTATTCTAAGTACAATTTGGTTCTCAGGCAACCAGGACCTCGCGTACTGGCAGTAACATGAGGGGGGAAGTCTGTGATTAAAAGAACTCTCCTCAAATGGGAATTCCAAGCACAAAAAAACAATTGGTGCTTAGTGGGGATTTCACGTTCCAGTGTTGCTGTTCCTACCACCTTCCAATGAAATTGCAAGAACACTCAACATTTTCCCACAAACTACAGACAGGCGCTTTTAAAATCCCTAGGATCTTAAAACACACACACACACACACACACACACACACACACACAACTAACTTCATACATGTGTGAATACACATAACAAACCATGTTTGTGAAAAACAACTGGTTCTATAATGCCCTTAGAACTGAAAATACCCAGGAAGAGATTTTATTCAACTCCATCTATAGGACATTAGTCAGAGGCAACCGACAGCTTTGTAAGTGCTCAACTCAAAGGTCTCTGTAAGCGAAACCTCGTCCTAGAAAGCCACCACGGCTTCCTTTCCCTCCCCTACTCCCCAAATCCATCTCTTTGAGCTCTGCCGAATAACTGGCTCCAAATGTGTTTGTTCTGGTTCTCTCTTTGTTTTTCCCAAAAGGGAAAAATTAATGGTCAAGTGGGCTTAATTTTTAAATCGGTACAAGTGCTGTAAACACACTGTACTGAGAGAAAAATGCAAATGGAACGCTCTTGAAAATGTTCACACATTAAACACACATCTCATGACCTGGGCCTCTCCTAAGGCGGGTTCTTCAACTCTACGGAGGTCAGAAGTTTAGTTTATTCAGCAAGAATAACTCTATTACCAGCTTGATCTCTTTCTTGTCACCACAGTAAACACCCAGGCATTCCACATCCTGGAAAATGGGAGGCAGTTCAAAGAGGGCTGGAGCTGCTGAGGGCGCCACTATGGTGCCTGAAAAGCTTCTAAAGCTATCAGTCTGCCGGATGAATGGCGAGAAGCCATCCACAGGGATGCACAGATCCCAGCAAATCAGTGCAGGGACATTGGACTCTGCAGACGGATTTTCAGAGAACAGTAAGAACTGGAGTGGCTTTATGTACATCACTACTGAATAACACTGATGATGAAAGCTCTTTCAGCATCTGCCCAGAGTATCAGAATTCTTACCCACTCCTGTATTGCTATAGTTTTTAAACACACAGGATTTTTTCCCCTAAATAATCCCATCTTTTTTTAGAGGCCAAGGTTAAAAGTCAGAACCCAGCAGACTTCAGAGCAAAATGAAAAACAACTCAAGCTTTAGAGCTGTTCCAGAAAGTTTGTGGCTGCTCTGACAACATCTACTACCCAGGGAGGTCACACTGCAGGAACTTGGTCCTACCCTACAGTGGAATAAATAAAATCATGACAAGTCATAAAATGAGTGGTAAGTCCTAACTAGGAAAGAGAAGACACCCTAGTCAATTACCCAAGTACAAGAAAATCTGACTTTCAAGTTGATGGAAATGAACCCTTACTCTTTCCAACTCTTTGTGTTCCTGAAAATCAGTACCTACGCTAATTAACCTGATTAGTGTCTTGATTCCTTTTCTACGCGTTTCCCACCAACATGCCAGTCCAAAGCCCTTATCCACCACTTCTGCTCTGGGGAAAATCTTAGGGAAGGTGCCCTGTACGCAACCCAGAGGCAGCGAGGGAGAAGTCTGCTCCCCACACGGGACCCCCTCGCACTGGATGGTATCTGAACAGGCAAGCAAGATGGGAGAATTTTAATTCCAGCTCCTCTTACAGCAATTCCTCCCAATGTGGTTGCACAGTACTGTTTTAAATGGCTTTCCAGTTAAAAGCACAAAGAGGAGTCGTCCCCAAGCCCCCCAAATTTCTCAAACCAAGAATAAATTCTAACTATCAGTTCTATTTGAGCAAGTAAGAGAGCCTCTTGTATCTACTGCTTTCATGCCCTTTTTCTGGTACCTTCTTAAAAAATTAAATCTTTATTTTTCTTTACTGAAGCTATCTTCAAAGTCCTTTTTTAATCTAATTATGAAATCCATCCTACCAGAATATACTCAACGTTAACACGAAGGACTCAAAGATTTTTCTGAAAAGTCTTGTTTTTCTATCATGAAACAGCTTGGGCTGTTTCCTGCCTTCCGAGAATTATGCTTACACCTGTCACTTGATTGTCACTCTTCAGTTTTATTCTCTCCTTCCAGTCCCCAGTTTGTCCTGATTCTTAACTACTTGCTCTCAGTCACTCCTTTTGCTGCTATTACCCCTAATATTTCCCCTTCCCCATCCGCTCAGCCTCTTTTGTATATATTTTACTTTCTCGCCTTTGAGTTTCTGCCCTCGATTTTTCCCCTTGATACAGAAGAACCCAAACAATGATTCTGAGTCTCAGACCCTTCTTGTTACCCTCATTGCTGCCCTTAACTCCTCTCCCAGGACACTGACAATGATCATCTCCTTTATCCTTGACCAACCTAGCTCAGAGGGAAAACCCTTTCCCATGTTCTTCATTTTCCTCTGTGCCCCAGTGAGCCCTGGGGCATGCCTTCTCCCACATATGTTCTGCTCTGCTCAGTCCCCGATGGAGCACCGCAGCTCTCTCCTTGGTATTTAGTTTCTAATTCTCTGTTGGCCTCCAGCAAGGACACTGGCCATCTGAAGCAAGCTACATTTGATGATCGCGTGCTGTGAGATCTGGCCAAGCGTGGTCTGCAACCAGCAGCAATGAGGGATTCAACCTGATCCATTTCTCTTGCACCCTGGTTCTCTTGCGACCTGTGGAGGGCACTTGCCAGAGGGCCTGCTGCGTCCAGGGGCAGGGAAAGCGCTGTCTGCAGCCCTAGAAGAGAGGTGACTGGCTCGACTGGGGCTTAAGCCTTTGACCTTGGCTTCACGAGCTGTGAGTAACAACCAGCCACAACCACACCATGGGAATGGCCCTCGGCAGATACAAGAACCTGGCTCAGTTCAGAAGCAAATACAAGCCTTCACGATGCAAAAACAGCCTCATCAAGACAGATCAGTTGGCAAACCAAGAAGACAATGAACTTGAGATCGACCCCCCACGCTATTTGCTATGATACTTCTTAGGGGAGAGGATCACCCTTCCCCTGGTTCTCCCAGCCCTTCCATGTCAGCACTTAGAGCGGAGAACCACTTTGACGCACCCCAGACCGATCTCGAGTGTTTAAAAGCAGCCATGACCATAAAGATAAACGTAGCTCTTATTTCCAGAAAAATCGAGAGAGTGTAAGAACCACTTTTCATTCCTCCCTGAACACCATCAAGCAAACTCCCCTTACAGGTAGACACACAGACAATCACGATGAAGGGGGCACGGGGAAATATATAAAAAGAAATTGTATTTACCTTCTTCTGTTTCATGCCACACGATCCCTTCCAAATTCACACTGGTCCCGGGTTCACAGGGCCCGAGACACTCTGGCTCTGTCACTACTCCAACTTCACACGTATTGACACCCAGGGAACGAGTCCGAACCAAAAGCTGTTCAACCGGTGCTGCAATATTGGATGAAGATGGGGAAAAGTAGGAGGGCAGAATCTGAGGCGTGAGACTGCTGGGAATCGGCGGCGGTGGCGCTGGCACTGTAAACAGGGGGTCAACCTGAAAGACAGACAGGCTTACTGCAGTGGTGCTGCATCTCGGAGCTCTTTTCCATGCAATCTGTTTACATCACTTGCAGAATAGATCACCATTCCAAATGCCATTGGCAATGATAATATGCTTTGAGTGTTTTACTGGTGCCAAAATACAAAGGAGAACAGAAATGAGAGTTTTCATTTTTTTGTGACCAACGAGGTCAACATTGGAGCTCTAGCTGCCTGCGTTAGAGGCAGGTCATCAACGTCCTTCTCCAATAGATAACCTTTTAGCCTCAAGAGACGTGAATGAAGTCTGCTTTGTAAAATCAAGTCTGTGGCCCACTTGTAATGAAATCTTATTTGCAAAAATTACAATGTTTTCCAAAGGAGAAACTCCAATAAATACCCACATATGCATCACTGGACATTTAAGCAAAGGAGATGGACTAAAATTGGCTTTCCAAGTACTTTATAAACCATAATGAATTAAATCACTACTAAAATATATTAACTTCCTCTGTCGAATATAGAAAATACATAAACTTGATTACACACACTGAAACCCAGAAACTGGGTATTATTAGCATATATTAAGCATCAACTCCTAATTAAGTGTTCTAGCAGAATTCATATAAACAGAGAAAAAATTTGTGTGCTCAACAGAACGTGGGCTTCTCCAACGCACAAGCCCTTGAGTGGTTCAGCGAGTAAAGCTCTCCGACGAGTCTGATGAGGAATCGGCAGCCCTCTCTGTGTTCAGGGAAAGAGAAAGGAGTGCCTACAAGATCGTGAGGTGTACTAGCTCCTCTGCACCCTGACCCCGAGGAGAGCAGTAAAGAGGTCCTTCACCACAAAAAGTTTACGAGTCTGGCCATAATGAAACCGAAGGCTATGAGTGTACTGAACAGGCAGATCGCCAACCAAGCCATTCATGCATTTGGCCCATTTTAATAACTGTCATGACTGCTACGGAAGAGCTTTGGCCCTGCTGACAGGTTATCAAATGTGAAAGAGCCAAATGCAGAGTGTGTCTGCCGGGGATTTCAGATCACCTACGTCCTCAAGCTGCAAAGAGACACCACGACTTAGAAGAGGTGATACCTCTCATGTTTTATCAGTTGGGCGAACAAATTAGATGTGTAACAAGGACACAGATAAAGGTGTCCTGGTAGAACACCATCTTAGTCTGTTCATGTATTCCCAGTTAACATTTCTAAGAAATCCACATTTGGCTACAGACATAATATTATATAGTCTTTGTTCTTTAAAAAAAAAACCACACACACACACACATACAAAAAGAGTGTATTTCAAGATAAGTCATATGAGGAAGTGTGCTCCTAGTTAAACAGCTGAAGCAGTCGTCTGTGTGGGCTCCTTGTTCATATGACTGTAAGAACTATTTCTACAGTTTGCATTTCACAAAAATGATAAACTGACGTTCACTTGCCTGAGTGATCCAAGATGCAATCGAACAGCCCTTCAGCCAACTGCACGTTAAAGAAACTTAATTTCCTGCTCTCAAAGCTGCCATAAAACTTCTTTTGCTCCATGCTTTTTATTGTTCTTCATTTGTGATCACAGAGCCCAAGAAAGAAAAGCATTTAACAGCCCCAAACCCCAGATCTGGTGATTTATGCTTTCGTGTAAAAGCTTAATGTGGATCAAAGTTCGCACTGATAGTTCCTATTTTAAAACTGAGGTGACAAATGAAGAAAAGGGGTTCTGAGAAAGAAAATTTAAAGAGTGGGGGGATCCAATACAACCTTGTAGTCTTAATTACAACTAAAAGATTGTGTGAGATTGAAATCACTTAAAAATTTAAAAAAGAATTTTTAAAAAGACAGGAAAATTATAAACCAGCTAGTGTACTTTTTTTTTTGCATGTTTCCCAACAACCTCTTAATCTGCACGGTTAGTTGTAGATTGATTGTAATTTGGTGCTACACATATAAACTGAAAAGACAAAATAGAACAGTATTCTGAAAACATTCTTTATATCCTTGATCAACAGCCTACATTCATTCTAAGAGAACAAGTAAAACTTCAGTCAGAGAAATTAGAAAATGGAATAAAATAAAAGAGGTAAGGAGTCTTAGTATCAACTCTAATGTTGCATATCAGGACACCCTGGAGCAACAGGTACAACAGAAGTTACAGGGACAGGGCGCGCCAACACCAGTAGCCCTGCCGCCCACACTAAGTAAGCTTGTGACTTGGGAGAATCATTTAACCTCTCTGGGGCCCATGTTCCTCAAGTGGAAGATGTGTTCTTTGGCCTGCTAATAGTGATCACGAATCCTATCACAACAGAATTTCTAGACTAAATCCCTATTTCAGTATAACTCTGTTTATGAATCTATTTGCACAGAGATACACACTTGCATACTATCTGGGATATATATGTAATTTCAAAGATGAAGCTTCTAGGTGGCTTGATGGGAAAGACCATGGTATCTTGAGCCTACCAGTGAGTTAACTGTGTTTATTTCCATTAACATAATCCAAATGTGTTGAAAAGAGTCCAGTAGATGACATTTATAGATAGGACCTTGGAGCCCTGTCCACACGTGTTTTAAAATGAGAAAGCTAAGGTTCAAAGAAGTTGGACAATAAATATGAACTTAATCACAAACAGTCCCCCCATGTGATAATGGTCTGAAACTCTTAAACTTGATAGGAAAACTTGATAGGTAATAGAGTTTTAAAGGGTCCACTCTGAGTTTTACAAGTGAATTTTTCTTAGTTTTTCCACTGCATTCGCTTCCTCAGTATGGCTCAAAACTCATATTCCTTTAGGTACCAGATCATCATCATCATCATCATCATCACAACCAGTGAGAAGAGAAAAGGGAACTTTTCTCCCTTGGGATTTCAGGATTTGGAGTGAAGAACAAAGATCACCCATGTGGTCTACTGGGGGGGTTCCTGGTCCCCAGAGATCAACACCCAGAGCGGGGAAGGGATTTACAGCCACTCCCAGAGGTGTTTTTTTTTAGCAGGTATGCTACTTTTAAACACATTCTCATCTTTTTGCCAACACAAAAGATTAGGGGAAAGCCTAAATTTCCATTCTCTGTTAACATAATAATTGGATAACGTGCTATGCTGGGCCCACATTCCTTGACAGCCTTAACTCACAGGGCTGAGTCTCCTCCACCTCCCACCCCTCCAGGGACCTGCCCAGGCACAGGCAGCTGAGTTGGCATTTCCAGCTTTTCTGAGACAACCACAGGACATTTTAGCTAGAAGGTCATTTAGTCCAGCTGACTCATTCTAGAGAAAACTGTGGCCCATGTTTGTGCAAGGGCGATAAGCTAGCTCTCCTGGCAGCCCAGGTGAGCATAAAACAGTAGCATCCTCCAAGCAGGAACCTGACAGAAGGGGTTCAACACACACTAGGAGACAAAAGGGGTAAAAGGGAAATCATTTGGAATGTAGCCATTGCTTCCTGCCAGTGAACGCCCCCAGCGGGAGAAGTTCCCTGCAAAAAATGTTTTGGTTCTCTTGTGTATTTCATGGTTTCCAACTCATAGTCACATGCACCATATGTAACCCAGGATTTGAAAAGAACTTCGCTAGTTACATTTGCCTTATACAAAAGGGCAACTCCACTGCATCCCGACTGCTCAGGTCACTCACTGATCATACAGTGAAATGTAGTATTTCTTCAACCAGTGAGGCTCCTTAAGACAGAAAGCAGCAGCGGTTTCAAGAAGGGAGTCTGGTGAGGAGGCAGCCTACACCTGGACTCGGTGGTGATGGACCTCGGGTTGTGCTGGGTTCAGATCCTGGCCCTGCTTGTGCAAGACCCTGCTTGTGCAAGACCCTGAGCAAATTACCTGGCTACTTTAAGGCTCCGTGTCTGGATCAAAGAAATGAGAGTAAGAATAACAATCACCCAGCAAAGGGTCCCAGTGAAGACTCAAGGAGATAACTCAAGTCAAGCAAAAGCTCGGCATAGCGCTGAGTTCAGTCAACACTGGCTTTAAAAAAGAAGAAAAAAAAATCCCTGGTCTGATATTACAGTTCTCTAACCCTGCACACAACCTACAAAGATCCTTTTTATATCCTTCTATGTTTAACATAAATCTATAATCCTCTCCAAA